AAACATTGTACAAAAATGCTGATTATTTCGCTAAACAATTCTAATAATTATTGGATATAAAAATTGGAAATAAATGTATAATAATTTATGGTTTTATTAAACCAAATTGTTTTTGGGGTAAGCGGTGTCTGTGGTTTAACTAAAACTAAAGAATTGTTTTCAAAATAATGCAGGTAATACGATTACAAAATGTTGACTATTTTTGCACTATATGCAAATTTTCGGATTATTAAAACCTTTTCCTGGCTGGTTTATTAAAATGAGAATAATGTGCAACAAACAGACTTAAAATGGGTTACACATTAGTATGCCGATTTATTTATTTATTTTCTATTCATATTTTCATTTGAAATGCAAATCATTCGTATATTCCCCATTGATTCCAAATGTACAGTGTTGGAGTTACTCCAGGATCAGTGTTTGGAAACACTGGCCTATAGGATAAATTATGTCAAATCTGGCACAGCTTACCCCACTCTCGCCTTCAGTACATACATAAAAAAGTAGGCAGAGACAGTCAGTCAGCCTCTTGTAATTAAAAAAACAAACCTAAAGCACTTCCTGTGCACTCTGTCAGCGTTATAAATATTTGATTTCAGGCAGGATTAAAATAACCTTATTTTGCAGCGAACAGAGAGGGAGAAACAAACAATCGGGCAGCTTTGTTTGTACCCTGAAAAATGAGAAGTCAGATGCAAAAGGGCTGCGGGGAAGGGTGTGTGTGCGCATGTTTTTGTTGTGCTGTGTTAAAGTGCTCTTCACTTTATCACCTACTGTTACACTCTATACCCTCCTCTGATGTCTCAATAACACACCACAGAGAGTTCAAACATCTCTCACTCCCACTCTCTCTGTCTCTTTCTCTTTCACACTCTCTGATTCTCCTGAGCCGAATGTTCAGAACACTCTGTAAGCGCTCTCAATCTGTCAGATATCTATTAGAGAGAAAGAGAGAGAGACTGTGTGTGTGTATGTTTGTGTGTGGGACTAGACTCATTGCGTAGACTAAGGATGGGAATCAAAGGAATGTAATGGTCCAGTTCCGATTCCTACATATCAAATTACTTTTTAAAACAGCTAAAAGGACTGGTGATAAAAAAAATCTAAATAAAATAAAAAGAAATTAAATAAAATATTTTAAAGTCATAAGTTTCATATTCATTTTTTTAAATAATGTATTAGCTTCACTCTCGCTCATTAATCATGCATCAACTCTCAGGATGTTGTTTGTACTGTATAAGTTATTTTTAAACAAGTCTGAAGAAAAGATCAGAATGCCTTCTAGTTTAATAATGCTTTTTGTGCTTTTGATGGTTTTGCAAACCATCGTTTATGTAACATTAGGGTGTTGGAAAAAGATGTCAAAACCAAATGTTTTGCAAACCAAATGTCCAACATAAAAAAAGTGTTGTTATGAAATTAAAAAAATGCCAGTAGTTTTCTTTGAGGGGTAGGGTTAGGGGGAAAGGGGATAGAAAAGACAGTTTCTACAATATAAAAACCATTACGTATATGTTGAGTCCCCGTAAACCACATATACAAGTGTGTGTGTGTGTGTGTGCGCGCTGGTCTGTCAAAATATGATGTTCCAGTATCTCAGTTTCAGCACTGTGTAATTTCCATAGCTAATAATGTAAAGTGAAGACCAAAGCACTTTCACACAAATAAACTACTGTTTCAGCAGGATACAGCACTATATATTATTAATCCAGCTGTCTGAGACAGTAAGCAATGCACCAAATGCTGGTGTCATACATCCTACCAGGTAGAGCTGGTAAAATAGGCCTGAGAATAAACAACTACAACAACGAGAAACAAACACCTTATATGTTATAATAAGTCATTTATTGACCTTTTTAACATTGAATCATCTCAGTCTGGTATGATTTATTTAAATTAATCAAACTCTTTACAACTGGCTAACTTGTGAAATGAGTAAAGGCACTTCTACCATTTAAAAAAAGATGATAAAAAAAACTTAACACACACCTCCACAACCTCATCATCCTCCTCCAGAAGATCCTCCAACACCTCTGTGGCCATCTGGAAAAAGAAAACAGCTCTTCATTTACTGAAATATGACATGTAACTGGATTGTAAACTGATTTTTAAGTCCAAATAATTCCGCAACTGCTCAAAAGTAATTTTTTGCATAAAAATAAACTGCATTGTAACATTATTTAGATGTCATTAAGCACACTGCTCAGCATGCATCTAGCATTTTCCATTATGTTTAATGGTGATCTGTATTAAATCAGCATAAATTATACATAATGGTCACATTTTGTTATACTGCCTTAAAAATGAAATTTAAATAAATACATCTTTTTTGCTTTATGGTAATGAGAATTGTGTGCCACAGAGCAAAAATTATAATGGTCCTAAAAATAGGGTTAAAGAATGCAATTGCTTTATTTGGGGGAATCTCGCAGTAGGTTTTTTTGAGATTTACCAATAATCTAAATCATAGTAAAATGTAATAACTGGATCAGTGAAGTCTGTTTATGTTTGACTTATGGTCAACATCACTCTTTTTGCTGATCTTTAATTAAGTGTTAATTGAGCTCTGCTAACCGGTTCTCAAGGGAGAGAAAAGTGCTTATAATTTAATGATTTTTTTTTTTTTTTACTGCTTTGTCACCTCAGTTCTTATGTTAATTTGTTAAACACCATCTTTATCTCTCCTTTGAGAGCCTGAGATCTTCATTTCCCTGATCGGTGTTATTGATCTATCTGCTGTCAGCCTCTGCCTTTCAGCTTAACCCATTCACCCAGAGTGTGATTTAATTAAGCATCATCAATACATCAGATCAAGAGCTGATAGACAAGGTCAGTTAAAAGCCAAATATTGGGCCATTAAGACACTTCATCTCAAAGTCCTTGAGCTTCAAATCAAATACAGATGAGAGCTGTAATCAACTGCACAGCACTTATGAATCGTGACCGTACAATGTGACCCAAGCTAATACTCAACTCTGTACTGTACATTGATTTTCTGATTCACAATAGCAAGTGCAGATTTTTCCTCCACAAAAACATTCAGATCTGCTACAGAGTGCGAGTTTTAGACTTCCCAACTTTTAAAATGCACTAAAGCTCCTTGTAAGTCTCTCCTGATCGATATACTGAGACAGGCTCTCTTGTTATTCCCTCAGGAGGGTCACGGCTTTGGCCGGGGGCCACGGTGACCCCTAAAGCCTCTTTGAACTCAGATGTCAGCCACTCTCAGCATCCCGCTCTCCTCTCGTCCCGTCACACTCACGCCATCCATTTCAACCAGGGCCACAGAGTCAAGATCAAGTTCTCGTGTATATGTACGTGCTGAAAGGGAGGGGGAGAAAGAGAGTAAGAGAAAGTAAAGCAGGAGAAAAGTGAGGACGGAGAAAGCACATCGCTCGATGGATATGTAATTTAAGGGACTGACCAACCAATTTACGATCCTGCAAGGCCATAAAATTCAGCCTGGACTTAATAATAGCACATTTAATGTGACACCTCTGACAATTCCAATCTAGCACAACCACACTCGCCCGCCTATCTGTATCTGCTTTTGTGTGTGCGTGCGAGCGACTGTGCATGGCAGAAAGACGGACTGCATGCAGGAGAATTTATACTCCTAGCCAGGCTGTGTGAACGCAGAATACACACATACTCGCTTTCGCACCCAAATTTTATAGTCGCACCGTTTATCAAAGGCAACATGGCTGCCACTGGGAGCTAAAAACTTCACTTATATTTAGCCTTTTGGAATGAGGAGGAGCTGAGATAATTACTTTAGGGATTGATGCTCGTGTTCGCTCTCTCTCCTTAGCCGCATATCACTCCTCGATGCCGGCTCGAAGCTCTCAGCAACAGATAAAAGGGACGGATAAAGTCAAATGCTTGGCCCGGAGGAAAACTGCTATGGGGTACGTGGGATTCTCCATTTAAGAAGTTAAAATTGAATGCATAAATCTGCTTGAACGCTTCTTAGATACATACACGATTACGGACGGCTGACAGCAGTTGGCGGACCACGAGTTGGTAACGCGCCCAAGCCCCTGTGGAGGTGTACATCCATAGTATAGTCCGTGTGATCGCAAATCTCAAAAGTGAAAGTCAGCTTAACATCGTGATGTCTGTCAGCCATCGGCGATGGACGATGGCATCGTCTATAGGCCCAACCCTAGTCCTGAGGTATATTCCAAATCTTCTGAAGCCATATGATAATTTTGTGTTTAGGACTGGTTATGGATTTCCTGATTCTGCAACATGTGAGTTATCCACCAATTCTGTAACACATTATAGTCTACTGGAAGAAATGATAACTTAAAGGAGATTCACAGGATTCATCAGACTAATTCAAATGGTAACTTCTGATTTGGTTTCGTTTGGATCCACTCAAAGGACAGGTTCAAAAGAGTCCTTTATTTATAAATCAGACTTCAATCAGAATTGAGAATCAGGTGCTTCTCAAACAGGAGGATGCATCCATAGCTATGCTGCCACCTCATAAAGTTCGATCGAAGGACATCTCAATTTGAAGGATTCTTAGAAGACAGTCTTTGTATTGTGTCCTTCATTCGGCCTGTTTTGAAGGATGAATCATCAGGTGTATCCTACCCATCCTTCAATCGCTCACAATCCTTTGCATAGATTCCAATTCACAAAAATTAGTTAGCTGAAAATAAATATTCATTGAGCTTGTTCAATTTCATTAAATATTTTTGAGGTGAAGGCATTATGCTTTCTTGTGTTTGGTTGTAAATGAATCCCATAATGCTAAACTGAGGAGACCAAAGACGGTCTCTTTACCTGCACTGCATTAATAGAAAGTCAGATAATATAAAAATGGTCAACATAAAATATTCTTCAAATTATTGTTATAATAGTTATAATAATTCATTCTAGCGTTTAATGCTGAGAAGGACTCAGGTCTTGAAGCCTCAGAAGGACTGGTCTAGGAACGACGCATCCTCACTAGAAAGCAGTCTTCCGTTTGAGAAGCACCCTACATTTGTTGCACCTCATGTTTTTGATATAGAACTGGTTCATAGGAGTCACTGTTTATAAATCAGATCTTGGCATTTTACAAATCAGTCTTGACATAATGAAATGACTTATCCACAAACAAAGCTGTTTGTTTTTTTTAATTTAATCTTTATTTGAGTAGGGTTTTTTTGACATGCAAGTACAGTGCAGTTTTTATTTAACTTTTAGGTACAACACATTTTAATTTAATCATTAAGTTTTTTATTTACCTGATTGTAAGCACAGTGCAGTGTTAATGTTCAAACTGTGTATTTACAATGTTAAAGTGGCTGACAATAAATAAATATTATTATTAGGAATAAAACTGCCTCATTTTTTAACTGTGCAGAGCTGTAGCTGAATAATTAGGCCTACTACGCTACTGGAGCCAAATATTTTCTGAGGTGGTACTTGGCATAAAAAGTTTGAGAACCACTTGACTAATGCATGATGTACATCTAGTGCTTTTTATATTTGAAGTTTGATAGCCTGTGGTCACCATTCACTTGCACTGTATGAAAAAGAGCACTTTGTCACTTTATGGGGCAAGACTTTTTTATCCATCCTTTCACAGAGAATTATCCTAAATTCTTATAAACACCTTTTCCTCTGAACTCCTCTTTTGTTGGCCTGAATATGAAAAGCAGTGAAAGGGAAATGTTGAATAACCCTATTGTATTTGTGGGGCTGTAATTGTCAGGTCAAATAAAGGCATTGTCTGAGTGAGCCTAGAATCAGAGGAATGCAGCCATTAATATTAATATGTTCACACTCAGGAGGAGGTCTGTTCATTGAAAAGTGATTATTTTTTCTTTCAACCCCTGCTTATGCCTCCTCATAACTCCTATCATTTTTTTCCTTTCCTATTTGCCTGTCTCTCGTGTGCTAAATTGCACATCCATTTGTGTTTAGCCACACTAGATGTGCTAATACTTTACCATATTTATTCACTATACACACACACACAAATACTTTGCACACATACTGCATATACATATACATTGTATATGGATGCTCAAGTCATCTATAATATAAGCTGTATTTACTTTAAGTATAAATTGGCTTGCACACACACTGCTATTTTAAATTAAGACATGCATGAAAAACTTCAGGTTTATAGAGTTACTTGTGATGTTATTCAAACATTACCAAGACTTAGTCATAAACCACAAATCTGTTAAATTAAGTTTTGGCAAACTTTCACCCTCAAGATTCAGTATGACGCATCCCAGGATGCACCATGAAGTTTTGCAATTCTAGAAAATATATTTAATAATCCATCACTCTCAAAGGAAAATGGTGTAACAAAATGAAAGTATCCCAGCTGTGTAAAAGATTCAATTGTAGGCATGACAATGTTTCTGAAAGATGCATTTGAAGGCAATTATATTTTGAATAAAATCTTTTAAACCCATTCACAAGAAAATTGTCCTTCAAATTCATTCAGCGACCTTTCCTGTTTGCCAAAAATGAGTTTTGAGTCTTGTTCAGTGCCGTTTGGTCAGCAAGTCCCTCTAAATGAGATCCAGTGCTGACCTAATCTTGTTTTGAATCAGACCAAGTTTAAGCACCCTAAGCATTTTTTGCCCACAGACAAAGCAGATATTTGACATTTTCCTCCAATTTTCAGCTGCTGAAATTTTACCAAGATCTAGCAAAATACAACAATTACCTCAATAAATGAATTAATTGTTAGTTCATTTAAGTATCATGAGTTTTTGTGAGTTCAAGTTTTAATTATAACACTAATTTAATCCTATTGTGTTAAAACGTGCACAAAAACACGGTATGTCCAATAGACTACTTTGCAAATAAAGGAATAATATCTGAAATTTAAATTTGGTTATTATTTACTCACCATAATATCATAGACTACCATGGAAAATGAATGTTTTGAGATGCCAAATGAATATATTCTTTATATTCTTCTTTATATTCTTTTATATTCTGTCTATTATTGTATAATCTATTTTCTGTAAACCCAGCCTACAACAGCGTGCACACACATACACACACTCAATTTTTGAATTTCA